GGGATCGAACTCGGGTCCTTGAGCTTGCACAGCAGGTGGCGAAACCACTGAGCTAAATCCCTGGCTCCTTTCCTCTTTTTCTTCCTTCCTTTCTTGTGATTTTTATTTTTTTTCCTATATTAATTACTTGGATAGAATTCTAGAAAGTATCTTTGGAAAGTTTCCCAAAAACTCACTAAATTTTGCTTATGTATTTAGAAAGTTCCATAGCTAAAATGACAGTCAAATGGGAACAAGAACCTCTTTTTATAGACCCCCAAATCAAACACCTGCCACATTTAGTAGTCCATTCCAATACAAGAAAGTGCTTTCTTCTAATCTGATTCCTTTGTATCATTTAAATGTACTTCCTCAAGAGTTAAAAGAGTACACATGTTTATCATTATCTGCATGATAACTCACATCTTTGAAGATGACTATAAAGTCTTCTCTGATGATACAGTTCAATCTTTTAGCTGTTTTGTTTCTAAACTACTAGTGTTTGTCAGACATATCTGCAAAAACCTTGAGTTTATATAAGTTGTTCTTGGAGCAGAGGATGACTGCTGAATAAATTAACATTTTCTCAAAAACCTCTCTCATTCAATGCTTTTCACAATACATGAGAAGCAAGTCTGAGTCCATTTTCCAAATATCTAACATCAACAAAACAGGGACCCCTTGTGTATACAGTTACTGAGGTCAAATCTAAGTGATTATTTTCCTGTACCAGCTATGAAAAAGTGTGCTAAAGACTGGTAAAAATGGATGGTTTACTTGTTCAATAGTTATTGAAAACCCACCATATACAAGACACTGTGTTAAATGTTGAGCAAAACAGAAAGACATAAAAAAAAGTCACTGGAAATAGGAAATAAAGGAAATATAAGGAAATAAAAAGGTAGAGGAAATCATAAATGTAACTACTTATAAGGGATACTGTGCCCAAACATTCTAATACACCTGTAAGAATTCCTCCAAAATACCTTCTTAAACCATAGACACATCAGGGTAAAAAATGATAAATGCATGCCAAATTAAATTCTTAGTGATAAGGAATAAGAGACTACCTTGCCTGCTCCAGTAGATCCAGCCACAGCCAACAACTGTCCTTTTTCTATCTTGAAGTTGATATCTTTTAAGACAGGGCTACCAAGAAGGGAGAAGTTACTGAAGAAGAGGCTGTTATCACCATTGGAAATCTTTCTATTGTTATTGTTCAGTTTTGCTTTCTCAAATAATTCTCCAAATCCCTGTTAAAAATAAAAGATATGTTTTTCAGATATTTTCAATAGATACTTGTTTTATATATAATTAGTTTGAAAGGCACGTGGTACATGACCCATTTTAAAACATTATTACTTTATAATATATAATTACATAGCACATGGTTTCTAGAGCACATGATCAAAACATTTGAAAATTATAAATATAGTATTTCATGGAAACTCAGCCCTTTCTCAGATCCTTGTCTATTGGTAAATTTTAAGTGTAAATTTAACTTAAGATTTTACACACACACACACACCTTCTCCTATAAGCTGAGCACATATACATTCTTATTTAATTCTTAGTGTACTATACAAGGTAGATTTCAAAATCTTCTTTCAAAGCTGGAGACTCTATGAAAGCATAAATAACGTAAGTCACACAACCAGTAAGTCACAGAAAGGAATTACAGAGTCTGATTTCTACTCTGTCACTTCTACCCTGGTAGCTCCTTCCTTGAAGAACTCAAAGCATTTCTTTAATTATTGTGGACTGTAAATGTGACGAGATTGCCAGATGACTTCAAATGAATTTATTTACATAAGAAAGCTGGGGAGAGGGATTCTTTTTGAAAAATCCCCTGCCTCCCTAATGCTCCCATGGAAGATTTAGCGTAGTAGCTTTAAATCAAAGTACGCAGCCCTGAAGACTGATCAGAAGGAAGCTGGTGCACCTTATCCTAAAGAAATCTATTTCCAGATCATCAGCATCCGAAGTTACTGTTTCCTACAATGAACCTGTGGGAGAATGTGCCTGCTGTCTGTTGTTTACCAACTCACCTCTGTGTCACAAATGCCTTTCCCTCCCTTCACTCAGAAGAAGCGATCTTCTCATTTACCATGCAAGTGGGCACTGCTCTTATGTTATACTCCATGAGTAAAAAACCTAGGACTCAAAGGAGGGGACCTTAAGGGAATGATCTACTCCTGAAAGAGGGTCTCATAAGAGCAAAGCCAGAATACTGAAAAAGGTAACATCATATTTCACTCAGATTTTAAACTTAAGGTGAGCTATATGTCTTATCTACCTTAGAATTAAATTTCAAAAATAAGTTGGAGAATAGGGCATTCTGTTTGATTATTAAACTGTAATAACTATTAAGTTGGATTATAATCTGTATCTTAAAGTCACTTTTTCTGAGAAAAAGCAAGTCATATTTAGCTGACTTTCTTGACAATAAGATTGGCCTTCATAAATTCATTTATTTGCCATAAATTAAATCAACTGAAAGGGCAGTTCCAAAGTTTTGACAAAAATCCGTTCAACACATTTAGACAATATGTAATAAACAGAAAATTAACAAGTCAACTTTAAAATGCATCACAGGTTTTTCAAAGTTCTTTTAGGACATATATAAACAATTGAGCTTGAAGACTACTTCAAGTTCTTATGATGCGAATGGCTAAATGTCCCCTTCAGGCGTCTGAGAACTAAAAGTTGAACTTGTACAGAGTGGGTGATGAAGCCTTAAAAACTGAGACAAAGGTATTTGTTATGCCCTTATTCATTTATTTATCTAATAGGTCTTTATTAAGTACTACATCTCCATTATTGACCACTTCAAATATCCCACATGGGACAATGACACGTGAATAAGTATTAACATTGGAATTAATGTGCAGGGCGCTACAGTTAAAAATCATATCAGGTCTTCTAAGAGCATCTTGGAGAGAGCAACCATCTCAACTTCCACTAAGTCAATGATATACATGCCAGCTGTGAAGTCAGGAAGTAGGATTTCATGAAACCAAGAAATGATCATAAATGTTCCAGGAAAATGGGTGTCTGGATGCACAATGATTCAGATGTGAAACAACATTCTCAAGAATGGTGACTGGCTATTTCAGGTACATACGGCAAGATGACAAATGCTACTAGAAGGCTTGGATGGCCATAGATAGAAGTAGGACTTTTAAACTGAAAAGAACTTGGACTGATAGGAGATTGCTCTTATTAATAATTTTTATTTCTGATCATAGAACAAACTTATTTTAGGAAATTTGAAGAACATGCGAATGCAGAAAAAAGAAAATATAAATCACCTGTAGTATAATCACATTTAACATTTCAATTGATATCTTTTACTCTTTTACCTATATAAATATATATTTACATGTAAAAATAATAGACATTTTTGTTAAATTCATAAGAATTATATCTGAGTTTTATGATCTTTTTTCCTGACATCATAAATTGTAAATATTTTCACATACCACTTGCAGCACAGTATCACAGAATATAGATAAACTATAAGTAGCTCTCTAGTAGGTGGATTCCCTTTTAATCAATAATTCTATGATGCACACATTTTGCTATAAATCTTGGGACACGTTTTTTTTATTCTTGTTTGTTTAGTATAAATTCTCACAAGTAGAATTTCCAGGGCAAAAAGTATATAAAATTCCAAGTCTTTCAAAACATAGTTCCAAATTTTCCTCTAGCAATGTATGAGAATACTAGTTTTCAGGAATGCGTTATCAACACTTGCATTTTGGATTTGGTTTGGTTTTATCTTTCTGTGTGTAGGGGGGTTATATGTAAAAATGGAATCTCACTATTAATTTTAATTGTATTTGACTTTAATAGAACTGAACATTTTCCATGTTTATGGCCCCCTGCAGTAGAGAATGATTATGATGACCTTCATCTTTATCCCACCTTGTCTTTTATCTTCCCAACTAGATGGGTAAAGTCAGACAAAGCATCATAAATAGTTTTAGCTTAAGTTTCCTGAGTTGCTGAGGGCACTAAATGAGGTAATAGATAGGAAAACATTTTGTATACAATAAAGCATCAGTCAGTACTTTTTAAAAAACTAAGTGTCAACATGATGAGTGGAAAAGGCCTTGAAGTCCAAGAAACCTAGGCTAGTATATTTAGCTCTGCCCTAGGTAGTTGAGTAACCTTGTCCTAGTTATGTAAACTCTCAACTCCTCAACTTCCTACTACATGAGCAGAAATTCTACCTACTCTCAGATTCAGGACAAGGGAGGAGTCATAATTCATCAGGGATTTGCCTCTCCAGTGATGTCATCAAAGGAGATAGAGAATACTCTGGAATGAGTGAGTTTATGAAGCTTAAAGAATGAGGAATGTCAAGTGCTTGAGGAATGTGCAGGAAATTGGGAAACAGGTGGCGAGTGTTTAGGAAAGAAAGAGGGCTAGAGATCTGTGTTTGATGGTCCTCAGCACCCTGACATCAGTTGAGCCTGTGTGAGGTCACTGAGAGAGAGAGCATGAAATGCTAGACAATGCTCGGGGACACAGTGCTCCAGCACCACTGAAATGATGGGCCAGGCAGACTTAGAAGTTATAATTTGGAACAGTTCACTAAATTAAGTGATAAAATCTAGAGGAAAAAGACAATGGCAGGAGGAAATATATATCTTTCTCTTAGATCAAAAATAAGGATGAAAAGATAATTACAAGGATCAAAGAGAAATTGGGAGCTCTCATCTGTAAAGATGGTCTTTATTTTCTCTATGTATTGTAAAAGACAAGGCCACCTACCATGGCTGAGAGGCTGGAGGTTTCAGGAAAGTGGTTAAAAATTTGGAATAGCTTTCAGAGAAGTGATAAAATTAAAGACAAGGCTTGAGTAAGATTGAAACAATAAATGTATAAAACTTACAGCTGACTAGAGTGTTCAATTTTCCCAGATAGTATTTCCTTCTTCAAAGGTGATAGTCAACATTTTACAGGGGGAAAAAAACAGCAAAGGAAAGAGGAACGAGAGTGCAGTTGGGAGAAGCACCAGAAGGGTTGGTCTTGGGATAAGGAGAGGAGGGAAATCCAAGGGGAAAATAAGAGAGATTAGAGGTTTCCGTGAAACTGAAAGGTGATGCGATAGTTACTTTTCTCTTGTTGCTGAGACAAAATACCCAACACCCAAAGTTAAGAAGGAAGGAGTTTATTTGGCTTACAGCTCATACAGATTTCAGTCTATAATCAGCTGGCTCCGAGGCTGGGATGGCAAACAAGTGTCGCAGAGGAGAAACAACATGGCGCACACAAGGCAGCAAAGGTAACAAGAGGATTTAACAGCATCTTTCTGCCCCTTTTATCTTATTCAGACTACCACAATTAGGGAAGTGCCAAACCAATCACTCACGTGGAGTGGTTTAATAATCACACGCCCTTAACCCCGGCATCACCCATTCCAGATTCAACTACCTCTGAAAAAGAAAGTCTCACGTCATCCTCATGAGGCTTTGGGGAGACATCTAAACACAAACCACAACAGGTAGGAATAACAGACTAGGAGATCTAGAGGGTTAGGAAGTTATGGACTGAGAAAAAGATTTCAGAGTGTGACATTTCCAAAGAAGAATAAGTCTGGTCACTAACAATCTCAGGATATGACAAAGAAATAGCATTTCTGAAGAAGTCACTGTGAAATTTCAGCTCTAAAGGCAGTACTGGAAGGATTGTTCATGCAGATGTTGAAGTCCCTCACATGATAGCAGAGGTTTAACAAGCACTATGATCCTAAATAAATGCCATCTAGGAGTATCTGGAGTGTAAAAGGTGACAGTCAAGACTGGAGGCCAGGTGGCAGGCAATCGATCAGTGAATGAGCTCTTCTAGACTTGACATTTGAGTCCAAATTCCAGCTTCCACACTTGTCAATTGTGTAAGTTCAGCCAAGTCTCTTAGCTTTTCAAAGCCTCAATTTTTTTAATCAATAAAATGGAATATTTATTTCTTTCAGACATAGAAGTGGTATAAGGTGCTATAGTTTAGATCTGACATGTTGCAGCCCCTTTTCCCACAGGTTTATGTACTAAAAGCTTGGTCTCCATCCCATTGTGCTCCTGGGAGTTAGTGGAATGTTAATTGGTGGAGACCAGTGGGGGAAGTTAAATCCTGGGGTGTGTCCTTCAAGGAACTAATGGGACCACATCTCTCCCTCACTCTGCTTCCCAGACACAGTATGGAGGGTGAACAGGCCCCTCTGCCAGTTGCTCCACTGTGATGTGCTGCCTCAGCACTAGCCCAATGGCAATGGGTCAGCCAGGCATGGCCTGAAATCTCTGAAACTGAACCAAAATAAATCTTTCCTCCTTTTAAGTTGGTTATATTGGGTATTTTGTCACAATGACAATAGCTAACTAAAGATAAGAATTAAATGAGACAAAACATGTTAAGTGTGTATCCTAGTGTCTGGCACACAGTAAGGACTCATGCATGCTATTTACTTTAGTAGGGAATCAGTGGGGAATAGAGGGTTTTTGGCACCAGAAGAGGAAAACAATAATCTGAAGGTTGTAGTGAAAATGTCAAAGCTAATGATTGACCCTTTATGCCTAGAAGGGCATTTGAAATTCTTAAAAGCAAAATACTAAAATAATCTGATTCATACTCTACTCCACAAAACAACTTTGCTAGGCAGATAAGGAATTATTCCTTTACCTATGTCTTTAAAAAATGAAGTAAAAGGACACCATGTTGATCAAATTATATAAATAATCCAATTTAAGATATCACAAGAGATTTAGAAATAGGACATTGCTTTTATAACTCCTACTTCTACTGAACTGATAAAAATGATAAAAAACTAGAAACTCAGTAGGGGTTCTTGGCAATCAAATATTTCTTCAGTAGAGGATGAAAATTATAATATTTTTCTGAGTGAGTAGTGTTTGAGAATTTTTAATAGTGAATGAAAATAAGTAAAAATTGTTGAAAAAAGATACACTGGTACAGTGAACCCTTGACTTATGAACTCGACTAGTTCCCAAGGCTGGTTGGAAATAAGTCAATACAGCTGAGATCTGGATGTTTACCTGGGTACACGGTATAGATCAGATGAATCTTCCATTAACCTAATTAACCCAAGTTGTTTGTATGTCAGGCTGACTGTAACTTGAGGGTCCACTGTATATCTCTCCTACATCTTTTTGTTGACTGGTATATTACGTGAACGGTACTCTGATGAACACTTGCATAAAATATCTTAGTCTTCACAACAAATTTTCAAGATAAATATTGATATTCTCCAATTTACAAATGAAGAACCAGAGGCTGTTTGATGTTAAAGTAACTAGATTTGGATTATGTGGAGAATAAATGGCAGAGCCAGGACTGCAACCCAACCTCAAAACTATAAGCTTTGTATTATTTCCAAATCTGTTATAGGAAATAAATTATATGACTTTAAAATCAAGAGGATTTTCATTGTACCTCCTATTCCTGGGCTTCTGCTTCTTAATTAATAAAGTTGGTAGAGTCCTCCCTTCTAGTAGTTGTGTCATTGACACCATCATGCTAACTTTATTTTTCATTCAAATGACATCTAGATTCATAAAGAAGAAAATACTCAGGTGTTCATAGAAAACAATTTTTAAAAATTCTCACCTCCTCCCAGAAAGCTGTTACATTCTCCATTACTACTTCTGTAGTTGTTAGGTTATATTCCAATGTCTTATATTCTTGCTTTTGTAAGAAATCCTATTTATTAAGAAAGTAAAAACACATTATAGAATTAAAATGCCATTAATACATTATTATATCTATTTTATATTATAATAGTGCTGCATCTTATAAATGGATTTTAACAATTAGAAATTAACAAAAGCTGGGCTGGAGGTTTAGCTCAGTGGTGTCGCTGCCTGCCTCACAAGCACAAGGTCCCAAGTTCAATCCCTGGTACCAAAAAAAAGAAAAAGAAATAACAAAAACTGCATAATAGTGTACTAAAATTTGAAACGCACTACAATTTATCCTATTTGTATTACATTCTTTAAATATGTGATGTTGTGAAGCTGTCTTTGTACATGATTTTAACATACAGCTGATTCTTCCTCATACTATTTATTACATGTTAAATTTAATGAAGAATCTATAAAACACCCTGAATTATCACCCATGTGCCTCAGCTCAAAGTTAAAACAGAAAAAAAAAACCAACACCTTCATCTTTACAGTACACTTTTTATGAGATGCGTCATCAGCATTACTTCTCTGGGTTAAGAAAAAGTGTGAAAATTTGATATAACTACTTTAAAGGCGTTCAACTGTGATTCCAAGAGATAGGCTCTCTGGGAGACTTCAAACCACACTTATCTTAGGGAAGTCAGAAACATAAGAAAGACATAATTCCATGCAACCTGACATCTTCCACTATATGAAGTCAGGAGAAAACCTTGCTCTGGCCTGGCCTCTTCCCTTTCTTCTCTGCTATCATCTCTGTCTTTTGTTTTCTCTCATTTTCTCCCAGTTTTGAGTTTTGCTCTCTAAGTCTGTTTCTCTATCTCTGTGTTCCTGTTTAGTTGCTCTCCAGTTCCTGTGATACACACACCCTCTGGCCTCTCTCTCTCTCTCCCTCTCTCTCTCTCTCTCTCTCTCTCTCTCTCTCTCTC